TAGATATATAGCAAGAACACCAGACCATGTGTAACAGCAATATTCTAATCCTAGACGAATGGTAGAGTCATAGATTTGTAAGAGTGATTCTGGAGTGAAAAATTGTCTAGCACGACACAGTGAACCAACTTTCTAAGCAGGAATCCTAGCAATGGATTCAGTGTAGTCTTTCTACTTCATGTCATTTGAGAACGTTAGCCTGAAAAGGCGGAATAAATCACTCTCAAAACCTAAACATATGATCAAAAAGTATTATATATTATATCTTTGTTCTTAAGAATTTTCAATAAAAACACTAATTATTTATCAGATTGTTTATTTACAAGAATAATTTTATATTTGCAACATTTTAAAAGCCAATTAAATTAGAAGTAATGTAATACAATATTTATTACTTAGTTTATAAATATGAAAACTATGAGGAAATCCTTATTATTTACCATTTTATATCGTTTGAATCAATTGTCAGTTAGACGATGTTTTACTTACCATTCCAATAAGTAATATAATAAATAGTGTAAATAAACAGACTAATAAATAAATAGTGTTTAATATTTTGTTGTCAATTCATAAGAACAAAGAAATGTATAAATTCGCTTTCATATGTTCAGGTTTTATTACAATCATCGCTTTTTAAAACAATATACCTTGCCGAAGAATGAAAGTAGCTAAAAAAATGTGGTGTCATTAAAAACAACGCTCTTTAAAACAACGTCTTATTGCAAACACGTTTATCCATTTCTAAATATTTCTTTAACATTCAAAGAAGTGAAGTAGTTGATCTCAACTCTAATGGATACAATAAGCTGTAGAAATTGCACAGATAATTCATAGATGCTTATATTTGACGACATCAATAAAGAATTCCTTTTCTTGCCCATCAGAAACCGCCTTCCAAACTCTGACTACGCTTTGTACATCTGATGGAGGAATTGTATCAATTCATAAAGTTTATAAGTCTGTTAGATCTCAACCTTTGAACTAGTAGATGTCTTTGCGAGTACGAAGCTCCAGGTTTACCTAAAACCGATTGCCCAAAACGTTTTAGAATTTTGTCAAGCCTGGAAAATAAGCATTGTGTAGCTCCAGGCAAGTTATGGTAGCAACGTTCCGTTTTTTGTCTGATCTGATTCTTGTGAACATATAGCGTTGTGTGATTGATCAGTTGCTTTCCGGAGCGCTACAAGGAATCGACCATTTTTCCAGAATCTTTAGCGTTGGACAGAATATATAAGTCATACTTGAGATCTAGCGTAAATGAGTCCCAACAGAGCAAAGTCTCTAAACTTTTTTTTTTAATTCAGGAAGCACTTGTAGAATAACTGACACTCTGAAGTACACTTTAAATTTCAAAGTAAAATTAGTCACGGAATTTAAAAATAGGAATATAATAAATAAACATCCTGATATAAGCATTTAGTTTTAAGACTGATTGATTGATTTGTTTGTCTAACGGCACACCAACACCTTATGGGTCATTTAATGTCGAAATTTAATTTTTTGGGAAGTACTGAAGTATTAAAATATGGTATATGTTATTCTGCTTTCACAGTTGATTACATGATAAATGATACTCAGCTTTTGTGCATATACATATTTGTGTGGACATAATTACTAGAAGAGGTGATATTTAGGTTTTTTTCTTATTTTTTTGAAGTTATATATTGGAATACAGTTTGATTTCTTTAAGAAATTGTAGGATATTATATGGATTAATGACATTTCTGTTGGTTGATTTTGTTTGGTGGCATGTCAAACGCTATGGTTTTGGTTTGGCTTGTTTTGTTTTACGGCATGGATTATTTAATGCCGACAAAAATTTTATTGCTGGTAATATTTTATTTTGTCAAAAATCTATTTCTGGTAATAATTCTTTCCTTCAAAAATGTATTGCTGGTAATATTTTTTTTAAATAGTATTGCTGGTAATATTTCTTACAAAAATGTATTGCTGGTAATAATTTTTTCAAAAAGGTATTGTTGGTAATATTTTTTTTCTTCGAATGTTTATTGCTGATAATAATTTTTACAAAGTATTTATGGTATTAAAACCTATTTTTTACACTTTCATTGTGTTTTTACCTTGGTTTACGTGTTAACTATTTGCCAATAGCTGAGACCCTAACAGGTGCTACCACCACGGGTTAGGGTGAAACTGGAAACACCAGCACTTAAGATGTGATTCCACACTCCTCAAAACCTCCTGATCAGAAGCCTTGCTGTTGGGCGTAGTTTATCGTCTTACCCAGGACGCGAATGTAGTTTATCGATTTACCCAGGACGCGGATGTAGTTTATCGTCTTACCCAGGACGCGGATGTAGTTTATCGTCATGCCCAGGACGCCAAACACTAATGTCGAAATCTAAATATATTGTATGTAATTTGATGCTTCCAATTACAGATATATTGTATAATACTTTGTACTTTCAGCGTAGTGGTTTGTGTTTTTTTAGATAGTCTGTAGATACTAAAATGTATTGTTTGTAATTTTACTATAAAAATGTACTGTTGATTTTTGTTTGCTGATTCGCGATTTGCACATAGATGGGATCTAACAGGTGCTAGCACCCTGCGTGAGAGTGGAACTCGGAACAAGAGCAATTAAAAGATGGTTTTACGCTCCTCAAAACCTCCAGTCTCTCGCTCAGAGGACTTGCTGCCGGGTGTAGTTTATCGTCATACCTAGAACGATATTTTTTATAACGTTATATATTTAAGTATGCTTGTGTGAAACCTGTGACTGATGTGCTTTGGCAATTTTTTGAATGTTAGGTCTTTCGTCCTCAATGAATTTAATATTTAATCTATTCTTGAAAGATTAAAGAATTTAGCATCAAGTTTAAAATGTCAAATAATAAACACTTCACTTAAACATGGAATACATGTGCTTAGTGTGTCTAGTTTTTTTTTTTCTTTTTTTAATACAGATTTTTTTAAAATGTAAAAATAACTCACGAATTTCTCTTCTGCTAACTTGGGTTTTTTCCTATCGAAGTACTTTCGATCGCCTCCGAGATCATCATCAGGGGTGAATTACAAAGTAGAAAGTTGTGATGGGGATTTTTAAAAACATGCGTGAATGAGATCTGTTATATTTATTTTAATTTTTTTAAATTTATCCGTTGTATAAATTGGGACGCTTGTTTTGCAAAAAATTCCATAGCTATAACGGATAAATTTAGAATTTTTTTTCGTGTTTTGCGTTTCGTCCATTGTGACATAATCGGACCAGGTTTGATTACGTTGTTGCGACTGCACATGCGCACGAACGAGACGCTGGGAATTTTAAATTTAGAAGAAATTTTTTTTTTTATGTTTTGAGTATATCATCTAGCCATATTCATTTAGAATCTTTTTCCATCATCTTTGTTATTAAATATCCCAAATTGTGATAAGAAAAAAATCTGACGAAATCTGGCGAAATATTTTAAGAAACTAGAAGCATATTTACTATAGAAGATTATGCGGAAAAAGCACAGTATAAACATTTTCTTCGTAATGAATTATTTTCTCTTTTCATCAGAGTAGCATTTTTGTCAAAATTGTGGTTAGTCTCGTCACGTTGAACAACTAATATGTTTAATGTGTTGTTTTTTAATGTCTCTTTTCTGTTCGTATAATCTTCTTGAGGTTTCGCCACTCTATTCTTCCTGACGATCCTTGCAAGTGATAGTGTAAATTTCACGTTCAAATTTTGGCCTGGTGTTTTGTTTTGAATTGATTAAGTCTTTTATGTCTTAGATGTAATTGTGACCAATTTTATGTTGATTTTAGACAAATTCTTTTCAATTGTAAAAAAGGGTGTTTCATTAAGACGGATCAAAGTCAACAGTAAATAAATCAGTGGTATTGGTGAAAAATTATTTATTTCTCTTTTGGATCATGTTATTTAAGTGCACTACAATGTTTTAAGCTAAACGTCTTAAACGACCACGCGGTTGTGTTTTCACATCTGCCACCGACCCGGTGTGTTTGAATTTACGAACAATTTTTCCAGATGTACTCTCGGTTGGTCGATTATGTTGACCAAAAAAATCGCTAAGAACGCGAAATGCCTTTCTGTTTGAAATACCATTTTCGTAATAGGCTTTGATAAATTTAACAGATTGTTTGATTGTTAGTCTTTCCATGGTTGAAATTGCCAAAGACTTAAGTTGTTAAATCTGAAAGAAAAAGGAAAAAAAAATCATTAGACCCTTAAACTGAATACATATTGAAAATCAGTCCAAGTTATAGGAACACCCTTGTTAATTAAACAGAGTATTTACTTAAATTAATTGTTCCTATGAAAATAACGTATAAACAGAAAAAAAAATATTTATATGCGCGTGCGGGCGTGTGTGGTTTAAACTAAAAAATTACCGTCAATTTTTGTTTTGTATTTTTACATTTCTCAGATAAGGTGTTGCACGAAATTGTGGATAAACCCTTTAAAGATTAAGGATAATACTCGACACTGTATTTGAAAACAGGAAAACTACAATAAAAATTAAATATCTCTTTCTTTCTTTCTTCATATATATATATATATATATATATATATAATTTTTTTTTGAAAAATGTTGAACACAACAATTTTTTCTCGTAGAAAAGACAAGATCCTGATGACAACATCGGGCTAATGTCGAAAGTACTTGAAATAAAATGAATATACATCAACATGGTAATTTTTTTTCTTCCTTTAATATGGATACTAAGAAATTGTTAGTAATTACGAGAGGACCCTATTTAACATAGTAGACAAATCTTGTCTAAATTATTTAATGATATATATATATATATATATATATATATATATATATAGTTGAATCCGAATTAATATTCGTATAAGTTTTCAATAAAAAAAAGAGAAATTAATTTGATTTTCCGCTGATATAGAGCCTTAACGTGATTCGCAGTTTTCGGAGGAAAATATTTCCCGTAGGCACTTGTGCGAAAGTAGAATTCGAACTCTGTTCTCCGATTTCTCATTCCGAGCCGTTATCCATTACACCAACTGCTTGCTGCCCCTGGTATTCCCAAGCGGTCACCCATCGTGGTACTCACCAGTCGCGACGTAGCTTAACTTCGGTGATCGGACGAGAACAGGTGTTTTAACCATATACAAGTTTTCTTTCTTTTTTTTTTTTTACGAAACAATGCTCTAATTAGTAAATTCTGGCGCTATAATTCCCTCTTTGTGCATGCTTTCACATCCATTCTCACAAAATGAAGAAGTAATTTACTTTTTTGCTTTGCTGCAACCAATCTTCAGTCGGTACCTCAAGTTTTTCAATATTTTTTCCTTTTAATATGCCCCAAATATTTTAACTGTCTCATTCAGATTTTAAGCTAGAGTGCCACTCAAGTTAGAATTTTCTTTTGATCTTCCTGTTCAAGTGTTCTGTCCATGAGGAAACAAATAAGTCTCTTTTTCAACTGTGAGGAAATTTCTAGCTATTCTTTGTCATACAGGAGGCTAGATTAGACATAGTGGTTAATAAACTTTGCTTTATTTCTAATGAATTTTCCTATATCTTTGTAGTTTGCTTAGTTTCTGAAAGACACTAGCTTTTCCGATGCGCCTTCGCATCTCTGTGTCACATAATCCGACATCAGTTATTATACTAACCAGATAGTGAAATTTCAGTTCTTGTTTAATTTTCATGTTTCTAAATGCAAGCTCAAACTTGTCATATATATATATATATATGTATGGCTCGAATTGGAAAAACTCACAAGATCCAATATTATTAGTCGCCCAAGGAAATATTTCAGAGAGAATGCATTAATAAACAAGGGAAATTATTAAGGCGAAATTATATTGAAATAGCACTAAAAAATAAATACAATAAATTTATGACCAAAATCACGCAACATATTCCCATTCCTGAAAAGCTACTGCTGAGACAGTGTAGAAAAATAAAAATGAATATAGCGATAGATATCAAAGGGAAATAACCAGGATGCGACGGCATAAATTTAACATCATATAATGTGGACAACAAAATATAGATTTAAACTTTAATGTGTTCTAAATTTTTATTGTTTGGAGGTGAATTATAATAAGTATTACTTAGTATTTCTACCAGCCATATATTTACTCCTTTTATATATAGTATTGACATATTAATAAAAGAATATTTTGTTTCAAAATTATATATATATATATATATATATATATATATATATAAAAAAAAAAACAACTTTTGGGTTCCATTATAATAATTTATTTCACCAGCGCCCTTTTAAGGTACACTGGATCATCAGATAACACTTCCAAAAAATGAAACGAAAGATGAAATGAAAATTCACACGTTTGACGGGTGGTATTAAGGTTATGTAATTTAACAGAGAGGGTAGCGAGGAATGGTATGAGAGACATGGCCGAGTTTAGAGAGGGATTATTTTAATATGTCTTTCAATCATAATCAGTATTGGGGGAGGAGGGACCAGAGCTTGACCTATTTAAATGGTTAACTTAAAGGAAGTGATACATTGAAGTGTTATCTGATGATCCAGCGTCCCTAATAAGGGCTCAGGTGAAATAAATTATTGGCTAATGAACCTAGAGGTCTGTTTTTTCAAATTATTAGCAATGGAATTACATTGAGCTTTCAGGATTTCATCATCCTTGGGGCTACCCATACGGATTACCAAGTTTTTCATAACTGATATATATATATATATATATATATATATATATATATATATATATGTGTGTGTGTGTGTGTGTGTGTGTGTGTGGGGAGTGAAATATATAGAAAAAAGGAAAGAACTCGTTAGGTAAATGATCCAAAGTTCTTTAGTATTTATGTTATTATTTTTTAAAAATAGTGCTCGATATAAAAGTAGACCATAAATATAATTATTTATTTAAAAATATGATTCCAACACGCTACATAAGAGTTCTCATGTTTCAAAACAAAGAGCCGAAAGCTTCCTTATAATTGTTTGAATTAAACTAATTAAAAGTAGCTCATTTCCATCTTCAAGCGAAATTTTTTTTTGGAATAACTTATTTCTGAAATTTAAGTGTTTTAATAGCATATTCATTATTAGAATCAAAATTTCTATGGTAACGGCTAGAGCAATTGTTTAAATAAAAAGGGGTGTAAGGTGTTAATAATTTGTATCAGAATAAAGTTACATTCACAGATGTCAAGTCAGAGTAAAGTTGGGGTGTCTAAATTTAAAACGGAAGATGATTTCGCCTAGTTCACGTGTCTATAGAGATTTATGTATTTTTTTATTTTATTTTTTTCTGAAAGGTTTTTTGTATATATAAAATATATATATATATATATATATATATATATATATATATATATATATATATATATATATATATATATATATATATATATATATATATATATATATATATATATATATATATATATATATATATATATATATATATATATATATATGTATATATATATATATATATATATATGTGTGTGTGTGTGTGTGTGTGTGTGTGTGTGTGTGTCTAGACAGTAATCCTTCTTTCATTGAATACGACAGACAAGGTGCTTTTTATTTAGCTTTTCATACAATTTCTCATGCGATCTAATTTCTTTTTCCTTTTCAGATGATAAATTATATAAAAACTGTCTGAATGTTCTTTTATCCGAGAAAGCGCTTTGGCTATACATTTAGTCTTTTCAAAAAGGATAAAATATTTTAACTGTTAAATAAAGAAATAGTTTGTTGTATGTATATTTTCTAATATGTTTTCATTTCAAAAACACTGTCATATATTGTGTCCATGTTCCAAATTAATATTATTAAGTTTTTTTTTTTTCCTTTTCATTAATAATACTTCCAATATATATATATATATATATATATATATATATATATATATATATATATATATATATATATATATATATATATATATATATATATATAAAATAAAAAAAAAAAATTATAATTAAATAATAAAAGATCCTGCTAATATAAATAGTAAAACTGATCCACTAAAAGTACTCAATATAATTTTTATTATACAGCATATAGTGAATTAAAATTAATGAGATTCCTTGGATCACATTAATTCTAATTCACACACAAACTTACACACACACACACACACACACATATATATATATATATATATATATATATATATATATATATTGCTTTGATAAAGTCCACTTTGGACGAAACGCGTCAGCAATTACCAGTTTTCCTTTTGTCATTTTTATTCATAAATATTGTCTTCTCTACTGGTTAAATCGGAGAAACTTTCATGCATGCATACATACATATATATATCTTTCAATTTGTCTTTGTTCACACACACACACACACACACATATATATATATATATATATATATATATATAATGAAATGGACTAAATTATTTTAATATATTGTCTATTTATACGTTATTTTTATGGATACATTTATTTAAGTAAATACTCAGTTGATAATAAGCAGTTTTAATTACATTTATCGTCCTGAATATACGAGAAATTTCGTAGAAAATATGTGTCGTCTGACCGGAATCGAACCTGTATCCTACACGGAATCGTCAGATAGCCTGACGTGCAAACCATTTAGCTAAAGCGAAAGCGTCTGGCTAACAAATTACAGATGTTTTTTGTTTTTTTTAAATTCCCACTATCCTTCTGAAACCACCATATCTGATCGAAGCGTAGCTTAACGTAAACAGATGACAGTATATATTATGAAATAGACTAAGTCTGACAATTATTTTGATATATTTTTTGTTTATACGTTATTAATATTAATAATATACATTATTAATTGTATTTATCGGCTTGAATGTTCGAGAAATATAAATACAATCTTGTACTGATTATTATAAAGAGATTTTTTATTTAAATAACTGTATCTTTAAAAATAACGTATAAACTGAATATATATATATATATATATATATATATATATATATGTGTGTGTGTGTGTTTGTGTGCGTGTGCGTGTGTATGTGTTTGTGGGTGTGTGTAATTTACAATCAATTATAGATAAAATACGGATTAGAAAGAAATTGTAATAATTTAACATGTTTTATTTATATTTAAGCTTCATTTTTCTGGTGAAGCTTAAATAAAATCGAAATATGTTAACTTTTTAAACATTTGGGGTATATATATATATATATATATATATATTATTATAATTATTATTATTATAAACAATAAATATATATTTACTATTATAAAAATAAATATATATATAGCCATCCACAGACAGACTGCTCCGAGGTATCACAGTTCATCAGTGTGGCTAGACGTCCGGTTGCTTCTAGGTAGGATCGAAACCCCGCGTGAATCGGTGATTTTACCCCTAAGCCGTTGCCGAACGGCAGGGATGATGATAAATTTAAGCGTACTTATTGTAGATAAACACACAGTGATTGAGAGAACTCGATTCGATTTACCGAAGGGTCTTGCATAATTAGTCATAATAGTAGCTGTTTACAAACACACACTTCTTCCCCAGAGACCGAAATAAATGTTTTTGGAGCATATATATTCAATGATTTTTTAGAGTTTTCTATTAATACATATATATATATATATATATATATATATATATATATATATATATATATATATATACATATATATATACTAATTGATTCAATGTATGATTATCTCTTTATAACATATATATATATATATATATATATATATATATATATATATATATATATATATATATATATATATATATGAATAATCATACATGAATCAACAATTAATGGCAATTCTCTTCTCTTCTAACATACTTAATATAAACAGTAAACTACTAACAATGCATGAATGATGCGATCCTTATGTATAAAAATTTTGTCAGATGGATCTAGTGTATTTTTTTATAGAAGCAAGTACTTTCAAAAGGACTTCATGTCCTCATCATCAGGCTGTAATTTTTCCTTTAAAATCAAAACATGAAGACGAAATAAATGTGTTTGTAGACCGAAAGATGTTTTTTTAAGAATGTGTTATTTATTAACGGTTGTATAATATTTTGAACGTGCAAGTCGCAACGCTGAAGTTCAAATATTTCAAGTGAAATACTATATGAATTTTTCTAATTTGGTAAATCCACGAATTCTTTTTTTTTGGCAGTGTTTT